CACTACAGAAAACAAGAAAACAACTACGGAAGTTATTCCTCAGATGTTTATAAATTAGAGTGTGCCTGAAATGTTGAATTCGGAGTTCAACGCCAATTTGCTGATGAAACTTCTGAAGTTGAAAGTTAGTGCTTCTATCAATTAGCAGGTGATACCATTAAGATTCTAGATTTCGTATCCTTTTAGATTCAAAATTTTAGTGACAAAAGGGAGATACCAGAAGGATCCAAGGAAAGGGTAAAGGTTCCGAACAGAAATACTACTTCTCCCTACCACAAGAAGCAGATTAATAGGTCAGATATGATGGCTCACCATCAGGATGTGTATCTTATGACACAAGATTAAACCAAAACCAAAGAACAATAAACATATCATGAATAGTTCAACGACAAGGCAGTTCAGTTAATAATACCAATATTCTTGTCAGATCTTCATTTTCATGACCATATATGGCACATATGTCTAACAACTTCGGTAAATCAAGCAACTTCTTCTCCTGCAAAAGGGCTACAAGTGCAATTAGTGAACATTGTGCACTCGAATACAATTTCCAAAGATAATTAGCGAGAAATACATCATCAGGCCTTTTACAATGCATATTATTCAAGAGTCCGGAGCCAAAAGGGTAAGAAAATTTTTCAAAAATTCCAAAAGAGCAACAAAATTAATTATAGAACCAAAAGGGCAACTTCCTGACGGAGAATCAAACAATGTTTGAATTAGGGCAGCCGCCGCAAGGCGTAGAATTCCAATTCCATGCGCCTTGTAAACAGATGGAAAATCAGTGCCTTGCGGCGGTTTTATTAAAAAAAGGAATTTGTGCATTATTAAAAAACGAATTAAATTATCAATGGTTTGAAAAATTTTAAGTATAGAACAATTGACATCATATTTGTTGTTGGTCAGTGGGATGTTAGGGAAAAGTGACATTTTATAACTTCATTTTTTAATTTGATTAATTAAATTCAATTCTAATCGTGTTAATAAAAGCGTAAAAAAAGTAGATCAAAGTGTGAAGTTTTTGAAGCCATGGAATATAGCATCTAAAATTACAATAACAATCCACAGTTTTTGGTTGGAATTTGCTATCTAACTATTGATTTAATTTCAAGAGATAAAAACTTTTCCCTTACTAATTAAAAGAAATTTCGTGGAGTTCTATCATTCCGAAATTAAATTAGATTAATTGACTTGTGTTTATTTACTATTTTTGACATTTTAGTAAGCACTATTATTAAAATTACTATATAAGTTTTCTACTACACAAGGTAATAGAAACTAAACTATGCTTCTACCTGAGATTTCAGAGGTAGTATTGCCATTTTCTAAGTTCATGATCTTCCTGATCATGATTGTGATGAGACTAGGCATAATATGAGGAAAGGAAGTGCATAAAACATTTAACTTGCATAGTTCATTACAAAAGTACACGTCAGGGTTGCAACTTGAATAAAACTTTCAAAATTTGACCTCCACAATACCAAGAAATTATTTGAAGAATACAGAGGTAGTAATAACTGCAACGAGTCAGGGACAGACACACACCTTCGTGATCTTTCTGAGTAAGACTATCAGCAGTCTTAGCTCCAGGGTCCCGATTTGACGATCTAAAATTGGATTACATAAAAGAACTGTTTAAATCAAAAGGCACAGCATAAGGGATGCGACTTGATGAATCAAGTGCTTTGAAATTAAAGTGACTCACATGCGATACAAGACCATAAAGATACGCCTGCAGAGCTCGAACTCACCAACGACGACCCCAGCGACTATACCCCTGGCTCCTCGATATGGAAAATCATACCACCTACTCCTGAACTTCAGAAAGCTTTCAAGAAAAGAGTGAAGGGAGCTGTCGCTGGCCACTGGTAGACACCGAAATCAGGAGAGACTGGTTTAAATGTACAGCAACACAATATACAAACCAACAAACAATCCAAACCAATGCACATTTGCCACTCAAATAGCACCATTTTTGGGTGTTGGTTTTAAGCAGATCAAATTTTGTATCATTTAGTTACCCAAACAAATAAAATAAATAAAACTTGTCGTCTTATCGCGATGCAAGACAAATGAAATATTTCTCATCGCTGCTGATTCAAGGATTATGCGCAGCTGAATTTCTTTTTTCACCAAAAGAAGATTCTCTTTCACCCTGGCCTGGCATTTTGATCCCTACACGTTAATTGTGGGATATAGGTTTCTAGTCTTTAGCAGCTAATGCAAAATAATGGAAAAGGAGGGCGTTTCTAGGGAAACCCTACATTTTCTAGCATAAAATAAACATCCTGAGCAACTTATAACCATCTTATGATTGACCTTTTGTATGCGACTGTTTACTCACTAGCTTTTACTGCTTGCTTCTGATGCTGTATAAAAAAATTTGCCTCACTATATATAATAGAGATAGCATTAGTACTGCTCAGAAATGCTGTATGAAAAGTTTGCTTCACTATATATGGCGTATTGCACCTCTTCTCCAAATGCAGACAAGCATAAAGCATCATAATCATTTATCTTTCTTCAATACAGAAAATTAGAAGGCTACCATTACCTACCTTTATACTTTAATCAAATCATACAAATCATAATTACTAATTTCAAATGAAAATCTTCAAAACCAGATTTCACAAAAGCTATAGAAAAAAACATTACCTTCCCGCCAGAAGTCTCTTGCATTCATCTTCAGTAACCTAAACAACTCCCTGTTCAAAACATCCACCACACGCTGCGATTCCACAGGATCCAATGCACCCTCATCGGCTCCAAGCCCAGCTGCTACAGCCTCATCCTGAGGCAAATAATCCACGAACTTTCCACTAGGAATAGCAGCGGGAACCCAGGCGCCACTTTCTCCCATCCTAACCCTACTCTTGACCTCTCCAGCAGAAGAACCGGCACTACTGGAGTTATCGGCGTTGGTACTTCCTTCAGATTTGATAGAAACTGATTGCCTGAAGGAATTCGCTAGGGTTTGAGAAGCTTGCATTTCCTTCTTTGGAACAAACTTCTTCTGAGTTTTTTCGTTCCTGTTTTGGTTACTATAACGATTCGACATAGCTTCAGCAATAACTTATAGATAGTCGGAGAATTCTGCGGCGTACTATTGACTTCGCCTGAGGAAAGTGAACGGCCAAAATCACAGAGGCGATCAGAGGTTTTCTACTTCAGTGCCGTCGACGGTCGAACTGGATTGGAGACCAAAATATGGAAATTGCTCGGCTTCCCCAGGCCCTTACTCTTTTCTTCTTTTTTTTTAATTTTTACTTATTCACTTTTCATTTCAACTTTACATAATTTAAATAAAATATGAATATTTAAGTATTTAACTATAATACCCATACTAATTACTCACATATAGTCTGTCTTAAAACTGTTTTTGGAAAATATGTAATTAATCTGAGAGTAAAATATAGTTTTTTATAGAGCAATTTTCACATATAGTAAATATAAAAATTATATTTGTATATTATAACTATAGTTCGCATGATTGTATTATATATATATATATATATATATATATATATATATATTCGTTAT